GTTAACTTTCAGCCACACCAGCCTCTTATTTAAGAATGTTCACTTTGTCTGGTTTTGTTGCAGTCTGCCCCATATAAAAATCGGGATCGGCATGTTGACTGATAGATGTTATACCAATTAAGGGTATGTAAATATCGTTAGTACAGAGCCTATTACTATTAACGTTTGGTAAACAAAATCACACGATAATATGAAATTTGTATTATTAATTAAATTGGTTCTGGGGGATCTGCCACAAATTATATATATAAATCCGGGATTTATATAGCGACACAAATTATATACAACATAATATAATATTTCTTATGTAAATATTAGAAACGTCCAAACCAAAATGGACAGCTTCTATTAACATCGTGCGTCTTACTTACTAGCTGTCGAAACTTTGGAGTGCAAAGGGTTTCTCGTTTGAATGTTGCTTTTTTCGTCAATGATCCCGGATTACAAAGCTTGGGATAAAAATTTTCATAAGATTTGCGAAAAATATCTTGTACTCTTAAAGATAATTCTATATCATCTACAAAAGATGACATATCCTTTAAAGATGCTGGAACCAACATCTGACCAATATGAATCATAATATAAATTCCTTGGACGAGGTCCATGGTATAATAGTCAACTTTATAATCTATAAATGATCAAAAAGGATTAAAGAATAACATAAGAAAAGAGTAAATAATATATTAATTTCCTTACCAACACACTGGAAGCCCAGCACTTTTATATCAGCACCTTTATCAACAGATGAGTCTAGGATATCTTTCATAAACACGCCCAGGCGAATAAGATCGTTGCAATTTTTATATACATCCCCTCTTTTTGATGGAGGGCTAACTTCGCCCACAAATAAGGTGGCACTAGTTTGTAATTGACAAATTATGGAAGTTGTGAAATCTGGTTGTTTAGTGCGATCTTCGGCTTTTCTTGTCTTGCTTTCGTTTAAAGCTGTATTGGGCCATTGTACTACGTGTTTATCGGGATCATCAAAGAGTCCTTTCATAATGCGATCAAGGAAATTGGTATAGTGTGTGATTTCGCTGTGCTCATTCCTAATTTTTGAAGAGGGTAGCACTCTCAAGCAGTCCAGAATAATAAAACCTAAATTCTCTCTTAAAGATTGCTCACTTGAAAGTTTTCTGCATAACCAGATAATAGATCATCACGCGATCCACCCATTGCCATTTTAACTGCTTTTCGGAATGTTGTTTCGGAATTCGAATCCAATACTATTTGTTGCTCTGGTTTAAATTTTTGATGAATTTCATCAAGCAAGGACAATCCGAAGTGATCAATCATTGTATTGGAGTAGGAATTCGAGGCAAGTAATAAAATTGACGATAACGATAATATTTCCTGTACATTTGATTCCACAAATAAACCCTTGTCCCTTGCAATATTTAGCGACTGATTCTGATAATTTCTAAAAAGTAGAGACACATTGGTCTCTCCCACGTGTAAATCATCAACTGGATCTCCATTTTTGAATGAAAATTCACATGGAATGTCATCAATTATGATATCTTTCTCCTCCTCCTCCTCAACGAATGGATTTTCCTCTTCCAATGGATGTACCATTGGACTACCCGGGGAAGGAGTGGTATATCCATCCAACTGGTGATACTGCTTTCTTCTTTTTCTGACATCCTGTCCGTCACGAGCGAAGTCAGCCAACAATGCCGATGCTTCATTATGTTCCACTACCGTCTCTTTCAAGACATCAAGAGACCTCTTATTCTACATAAACATAATATTTGTATAGTGATAACACTAAATCTAGAAGTATAAAGTCAAACCCTTTACCATGATCAAGCATTTATCCGACTATTGCATGGGAGACAGAAAGAATTTAAATTAAGCTTAGCCTTAGGATGTGCGGGTAAAGGCTAAAAAGAAACAATTTTCATTACCTGTATTTTACGAACTTCTGCAGAAACCTTGATTTCTTGCAAGTTTATTTTCCTCTCCAAATCCATCTTAATCCAAAAATCATCAATACACCCACCAGCTTTTACACCTTCCTACAAAAAATTAACAGTAATAAAAACAAGGTTAGCTCACGATAGTTAACTAACTTTTGCAAGTTCATGGAAAGATTTCAGCGGAACGTATTCCATCGCCACTCGGATACGTATTCCAGTGGGTAGCTTCAATCTCAGTTGAGACAGGGCGGAACGTATTCCATACACGGGCGGAACGTATTCCCTTGTGATTCCTGCCACAACCGCCACGTAAAAATATCACGGACAGAATAATGAAAAACAAATGCTTCGTCTCAGGTTCGACCCAAGGACATTAAGCGTGTAAAGCTTGTGTAAACCCTCACTCTAATCCTACATAACTAAACCAGCATTAGCCCTCTAACGCAAAAAAGTAACACACTTTAAATTGCTTAAACATTCTGTTAGCTTCCTTCTTTTCTTCTTCTGATCCTTCCTTCATAAGCCATTCTAGCTGTCGCGTGATTGCTAACGTGATCGTTGCCTTGTTAATGGGATGTTTGGATGCACACCATTCCTCATGATATTCTAGTGCATCCCATTCTTCACATGGCGTGGTAATAAAGTATGAAAACCCCGGTTTGTCAGTAATATCAATTTTCTTTGGCATTTGTGTAATGTGCAAAACGAAAATATTTGTTCCGAGGTCGACAAAATTTGATTGTCGCGCGTATTTAATCGATACACTTTGTGGCTAGCATTGCGACCAATCACATAGCCGTCGAAATTGATCGACGCGTCGCATTACGCGAAAACCAGCAAGCATCTGAAGTATGCTGTACATACTCCTTACGTAGTTAGTTTTATACTTTCTTATTCAAGTAGACATAGATTTAGACAGACTTTGCAAACTTTATTGTAATTATTTGTTAACACATGTAAAAAGACAGCCCGAAGGGCGTCACTGAATAGCTCTGGATGTCTATTTCGCTGAATCCCCCCCCAAATACTTGGTCGTATACCGACTTTCTCCTCGCGAATAGGAACGCCATCGTCAACTCATCGCCCTATACGGACGACTGGAGAGGACTAGTATGTGGCATGGGCTTCGCCCTACGTATAAACAAGATCTGATATTTATATTTTCCATTCAAAGATTTGAACGTGCAAAGAGGGGTTTATCCGCACGGTATAAAAAATGACGCTTCTACATTTAAGAATTCATCATGATTTTCCAATGTAAATATATCAGGCCCTTAGGGCGCTTCTTTGAGGCATAATCATTATTGGCAAAAGTGATCGGCGTTACGAAACGTGATTTTAAACTCGATAATTTAAATAAATCTGCACCTTATATAAAAGTTGTTAACAAAACGTGTCATCAGAGCTTGAACCTCAATCTGCTCAATCAAAAATCGATTCATTGCAAGAATTAAATTCGAAGCTCTTGGCTGAGATTTCTGAGCTTAGAAAGGAGAATGCTGAGGTCAAGGCCGAGAATACAAAATTGAAACAAGCTATACACGTAGACGCAAATGCTGAGCTCAAGACCAGATTCGAGGAGCTAGAAAAGAAAAATAAAACAGACACCAGTAATCTTATTGCTGAAAATGCTGAGCTCAGAGACAGAGTCACGAAATTGGAACAGAAGCAGACACAAAGTGATAGCGTGTACGTATTAGAAGATTCTATTCTCCACGAAGCATCATCTGATATTTCTTCCAATATACATACATACTCGTCCGAGCCTAAATCGTCGGAAAATAAAGAGATCGGTGAATTTCTGGATTTGAAAGAGTTAGTAGCGAGATAAAGCAATGCAATAGGGAGAAGAAGCTTCAATCAGCTGAAGACCGATCCCAGAACTTAGTTTCAGATACTTCTATCTCTCCTGAGCAAAATCATGTAAGCGAAAAAGAAAAATGCCGTCATGAAACGTGACGATCGGCAAAAAAACTTTCGAATCCTAATTATCACAGGAAAGACCAGGGGGCGAGTCTCCAAATCATAACATTTATGTGTCCGAAGAGCCTGATGAAATTGAGCCCACTAAAAGTCAATGTATAGAGCAAGGGTTAACAAAAGAATTGTGAAGTAGTAGAGTCATTATCTCACCGGTTTCCACTGAGATTACAGAGCATCAATCATCCCAAATTACAACACAAAGCTTAATCTGTTTATTACAAAATGCAATACGAGCTAGACATGAAGAAATCTTATCCTGGTACTATTACTCTGATAGTTTTGAAAATAAAATTATCGAAATTTGCCGTGAGACAGGAGTTACAGATAAAACTGCTAGAACACAACTATATAAGGAAATGTTAAACCATCTACCTGGTATTACATCGGGAAACTTGCGTATGAAAACCTTAAGAGCCAAAAAAATTCGAATGTTATTTGGGAAAGATGGAGTTGGAATAGAAAAAATCAAACAAGTCTCCTACAGTATATATGCCATTTCTAGTCTTACTAATAGCCAAATTCAAAATGTTATCAATAATATAACCTGAAAAAGAAATTCTTATCAGAAATGAGTTGGATATTAATACTTTAATTCTTCTCTTGCAGCAGAAATTCAAAATGACAAAGAAATTATTAGATAAATGGAGAGATAATATCGCTTTTGAATTCCGAGATAATACCAAATATTGGAAGAAAGAACGAGAAAGTATGCCCGAAGCAGATTTCTTAAAACACAAGAAAAACTTTGAGGCTAAAATGGGCGTTCCTACTACACGATATAAAAAGGAATTAAAAGAGCATTATTCAACATTATACTTATATATCCTATTATAATCAATATGTATCTCCTATTTTCACATTATAATCACAGACGCTAAATTGATATACTTTATATCACATGTAATCTGTGGCCAAAAAATTAGATCGCGCCATCATCTAGCTAGCATATACTTACTATGTGGTCAACTTTATAAAACCAGCCACATGACAATATAGCAATCGATCATTCTCCCATGTGGCCAGATTTATGAAATACGCCACCTTTTGAATGTGGCCAGAATTATAATATTGGCCACATACCTGAGTGGTCATAACCTAAGCTAAGTGGAAATAACATAATTATGTTATTTCCACTCCAATTGAACATCTCTGGGATGAACTTGAAAGAAGAGTTCGGGCTCATAAACCCTTACCACGAAACAAGGAAGAATTATGGCAGATACTCCAAAAAGAATGGCACAATATTGATGTTAGCGTTTACCAAAATCTTGTAGATAACATGCCACGTAGAATTGCTGCAAAATCATTCTAAATACATTTTTTAGTAGAATATTTGATGTCAGATAGAGAATAATCGAGTATTAAACAAATAAATTTGGAAGACGAAATCGGCAAAATCTTTACACTGGATTTAATTGTTATAATAGGGAGAGATACCAAGATGACAGTGATAAAATAACAAAGATACATGCAAAATGTTATCGCGAACAAGTTTAATTGATACACAAAAAGCAGTTGCAGTAATAAGTTTTTCGTTTACATAAACATGAAGTTAGCATATAATTTGCAAAATTTTGTGTTACTCACTCATTTATTTGAGGGCGTAAGCCCACGAGTGGGACAAAATTCCAAATAGCCTTTGTAGAATCAATGCCACGGCGTTGTAACGAGATTATTGAGAAAAATGGTGAACGAATATCATTAATTTTTTTAATAAAATCTACTGCTACAGTATTTAGCTTCCAAATGATGTGCAGTACACTTTAATTGGTGCGATGGTTGTGAAACCAGAACGATTTGAAAAATTGTCGTTTTTTTTGCACTGTATGAACTTCACTATATCGAAAATTCTCGATATAGTGAAGTTTCGATAGTAAAGAAAAATCCCCGTCCCGTCGACTTGACTATATCGAGGTTTGACTGTACTCGAAAAATTTCTCTACTCATTTATGCAATTTGATATGCAAAGCACAGTTGAGTGAATACAATATAGAGATACAAAACGCGTTTACTTTATGCATAATTATATTTCGAAAGTTCAAGTCAAATAACTTTGTTATTAAAATTAAAGCTTACAATTCAGACGTTCACATGTTGCCGCAGCGCGGTAGATGCGAATCTGTCAACTTTTGCATACTGCGCTAAGAATAGATAAAAAAAAAACATATAAAAAAAAACATATTAAATGACTGATATTTATTGATTGTTTTTTGGATCCATCCGATTGTTGCTAATTCTGCGGATTAATCGGTAATTGGCCTATGATATACAATTTCATAATAAAAGTTTTAGTGGGTTCTCAATGTAGCTTCTCCACGTCTTCAGCCATTGGGCGCCGACTGCTCCATCAACAACTCTATGATCACAAGAAAGAGTCACATGCATAGTATTGACTACTTTATAACTGGATTCATTGGATGCGTCAGAAATGACTTTCTGCGTTGTTGATCCAACAGCAAGTATGCACGATTGTGGAGGGTTAATAATAGCAGTGAATGACTTAATGCCATACATCCCGAGATTAGATATGGAGAACGTCCCACCCTATTATAATTGACGTCAGAATGAGCCTTGAATAATAACTTGGCCTGGGAATATAGTCATTGTGAACATTTGTTTATTCAATTTCTTACCTGGTACTCATTTGGTGCTAGTTTTCCCTCTCGTGCCCGTCTGGCCATCTCCTTAATCTCATTGGATATAGTAGCCAATCCTTTCGTGTCCGCATTTGTCACTATGGGGGTAATTAATCCAGTTGGCGTCGCAGTTGCAACTGAAATATCGGCCGTGTGATACCTACATAAGAAAGGATGCATATAAATAGGCCGAATGTGCTATTCTATAACGAATTGCAAGTTAAATCTTACTCAACTGTCTGATATAGTCGTTATACCATGCACTATTCACTTCAGGCACATCTTTAAGTGCCAATGCGGCCGACTTTACAACAAAATCATTTACAGATAATTTATAACTACCATCACTATCACGATTAAGCGCCTCCCGAAGTTTCATTATTTTATCCATGTTGACTTCAATCGTCAAATAATAGTGAGGAATATTTTGCTTTGATTCGCTCAGCCTTTGCGCGATGACCTTACGGATATTCGACTGTGGTATGTCAGTATAAGTAGCTGTAGGTGAAGCAGTTTGGCCGGATGTTACTGGACTTTGGGAAGCCGTCGAAGGTACATAATTTTCTACATCAGCCTTGGTGATACGATCATTAGGACCCGTCCCTTTTATTTGCGCAAGATCGATTCCTCGCTCGCTAGCAATATTACGAGCCAAAGGACTAGCAAATATGCGGTCAGTCGACGTTCGACTAATGTCTTTCGACTTTCGGCTAGTGTCTTTCGACTGTGTTTCTTTCTTTGTACTGTCGGCTTCAACCTTAGGTTGCTCCGTTTTGGTCGATGGTGATGTCTCTTCCGGGGCATAATCAGCGAATTTATCTATACCTTCTTTCTCTTCGACTAAAATGGCAATAGGCTAGTCATTTGGTCAGTCCATTAAAGAAATAGAAGAATGATTGGAGACAAAAACATTTTCCTAAGCCACTTTACAATAAGAAGAAGATGTCTTACTTTGCCAACAGGAACGTCCTTCGCGCCTGTTTCAACAAGTACCTTGGCTAGATAACCCTCTTCCTGACACTCAAAATCCATCTGAGCCTTATCTGTCTCGATCTCCACCAATACATCACCGGGTACTACAGAATCTCCAATTTGTTTTTTCCATGCTCCTACGCTGCCCATCGTCATGGTTGGAGAGAGAGCCGGCATGGAAATTACAGTATGCAAAGGATAGGCTGGGATTAAAGAGAGGTATCACGACGATCATTAGCTTCCGTGTATTGAGATAAGCTATCGAACCTTCTCATCTCTTCAATATTGTGAGAGCTGGAGTAAGCGGCCGGACATATGAAACAATCATATACCGAAAGAATTCTTTCTAGAAAGAATCGTCTCAACTTAAATTAAGAGATGTGCAATTCCTTACACTCAGAGCCATAGTAACGTCGATTCATGGATGAAAAGTTCAATAAAGTTCGATTAAACCGCACATGCGGATTCCTCGGTTGTATTCCACTAATAAAATAAATTAAAGTCAAAACGAACCACAGGTCAACTCTTATCGAAAAATTATAAGGTGTTCTTACCGAGAAACGTTCTTCCCTATTACACTAAAGCACTGCAAGAATACTGGCACAGCATTTCCAGTAATATGAGATACATTCGCTCTTGATACTCGTATAAGAGTACGAGGTGACCTTCTTAACACATGCATCGAGAATGAAGAAGAAATGAATAAAGGCGTAAACACATGTAGTGATCAAGTGTGTATGATACAAACCAGACTAGTGAACTAACGCCACACGAATTTCAGGATTAAATTTTAGCTAGTACTACCAACATATCCAATCGTGGTGAGATTTGCACTTCAAATTACTTACTTATGCTTCGAAGTAATTCTCCATTCTATTTACAGCAGATTATACCAAAGAGCTAAAACGAATTTATTTTTAGCAACCATGTGTAATACAGTCAGACCTCTTTATAATCACCAAGTCCGTTGCACCTCAAAGTGGTGATTGTATAGAGGTGTGACTGTAATTATAAAACCTCTATACAATCACCACCATAATTAAAATAATGTGCAGTGATTATATAGAGGATTTTACGTTGGTATAACAACTTAATAAAATAAAAATGTGAAACAATAATTAACAATAGAGTAATAGTGATTATAAAATTCATTTATTGTTTATTAATTATTATTTCGTTAATTATTATTTAAAACAGCATAATAATAATTATGACAACTTGCTTTTTAGTTTGCATTTTAAGTTTATGAACTGTTTTAAGATACTTTTTAAAAACGCGTACATCTTCGTTTTTAAATTCAGTTACGGCAAGCTGATCTGATGAATCAGATAAGTAAGTCACATGATAAAACAAAAATCCGCAACAGGCGCAGTAATAGCTCGAAAATCCGCAACAGAACAAAATACTATAATTGGAATAGCTAAAAGATGGCATTCGGTAAAAAAGACCTGTTTCGTCGATATTATAAATTCAATCAAGGGTAAACCGGCCCAAAGTCTACGCAATTTCGTTCGTTCTTCTGTAAGAGATTCCAATGGACACTTCCTGCTTCTCCGTGTGCACGATATCTTTGAATATTGTTGCGTTTTTTAAATTTCTCAAGCCAGCCATTAGAAAACACCAATTCACTTTCCTGTATGTTAAATGCTTGAGCGAAAACCCTAGCCTTTCTTTAATTAACAAATCAGTTAAGGTTACGTTACATTTTCTACTCATAGACTCATAGCATGGTCTAATAATGGAAATTTAGCCTCTCTGTGTCTAGGTTTTTAGAAAATTCATAGTTTCAAAGTGTTATTAAAATAAAACTGCGTACCTAAATGTTTTAGTCGAAACTTCAGCACTAACCACGGCCTTCCACTTGTTTTTTTCTTTCAAAATTTTAGACACAGTACTTCGGTCAATCTTCACATCAAGGTTTTTTTCGAACAATTTCATGGTGTTTTTTGTTCTTATTTGCTTCCGCCCATTCGCATATTTGACGCTTAATGTCACTGAACGGCGTTGTTTAGGCTGTCGATCTGGTGACATAACAAAGAAACAATTAGAAGGAATAATTGTATATGAAAAAAAAAATAAAATTTTATATGAATTTTTTTCGTGTCATAAGTAGGTGTCGATAGAAATTGATTGAACAAAGAAGCAAATGATAATAATTATGACTGTCGCCAAAAAATATCGGTTTATCGGGTTTACGAGATCTATATTAATATGTAATATCGGTTTTACGAGGGGTTTATCATATATAAATTGCACGGGAATTGAAAAAAGTATCGGTATCGGTTTTTCGAGGGTTGACTGATGGTTCCCGTATTGTTTACTTTGAGCTAAACACATTGATCAATGAATACCGAAGCCCAACAGAAAAACCAACGTTCCTCTTCGCTCCTGTGAACGATATGTAGCCCAGCTTCGTAAAAATGGCAAAATTTCAGATCTGGTCGCCCACGTAAAATTTCTCCTCAAATGCGTCGCCAGATCGGTAGAATTGTAAGTTCGAATCATTTTGTTACAGCAGCTGAAATTAAGCTCGGCTTGAAGAAACACACCCAGATTTGAAGTGAGTGAACAGACTACTTGTGACGAACTTTTCAGACTTGGTTATACTGTCATTATAACTGGCTAGTATTCTCTGATGAAACAACTTTGCAGATGTTCCGGAATACTTGCTTAGCTTGGTCAAAATAAAAAAAAAACACCTATTGCACCAATGGTAAAACATCCATTTAAACTTCATTTGTGGGGAGTAATTTGTGCATGTGGGAAGGTTGGATTGTACACATTTTTAATTCGTGGAGAATATGGACTGACATTTATATAAACAAATTCTTAATATTAATGAGAATTTGTATAATAATGCAACTAATATGTATGAGAATCAATGCTGGATTTTCCAGCAGGACAATGATCCCATAATTGAAGTTACCAGGTCATGTTTTGTCTTGGCCATCATATAGCCCAGATCTCAACCCAATTGAGTATATTTTAATTTGGGCAATTCTCAAGCAGCATATCGAGAAAAAAATCAAAGCAATGATGGTGGCAAAAAAAAAAAGAAGAAAGTATCACGAGCTGTTTTTATTGCATTAGTAGAAGAAGAATGGCAAAATATCTCTGATGAGGTAATTCTTACATGTATTACCAGTATGCCAGATTGCATTCAAGCCTGCATTGAGGCAGAAGGAGGGCATACTGAATACTAAATTTTTACCGGTATATTGTTACGGTCGGGTGGTCTGGGGTTTGGGAGAGCAATTAATCTTTTGCGTAGGGGTGTTCTTCCGACCGGGGGATGTTACCAGATTAGCTTCATGCTACCGCCCTTAATACGGTAGTTGTTCA